TTTTTTTATTTTTAAATTTATTTTAATGAACTTCTAGTGGAATAAGATTTTAAATTTATTCTTTTGTAATCCCCATGCGATACACGATTCATTTAAATTTTTTCTTTTTTTAAATAATTTTTTTTATATGTATGTATTTATCTGCTAAAATTTGTTATATATTTAGATTAAATTTTTGATATCAAAATATAATGTCATACTTCCCCCGTTTTCTTTTACTTGCAACATTTCCCTAAAAAGGAAATGTCACAATACTTGTAACACACTATAAAAGGAAAGTTACTTTAGAAAAAAACTATACTATTTCCCTTATTTAAAGCATATGACCTACTAAATTACACTCCTGATAACCACTCATCCTATTTTAAAGTTTATTATATTATGTAAACCCAACCTTTCTTAATTACCGCGCTAAAGGGTGTGTTGCATCTAAAAGAAAATGGAAGAAGTATAATTTAAATAATTTAAATTGAAAAATCAATATATATATATATATATATATATATATATATATATATATATATATATCACGTCGTGGGTCATTGTCGGATTTCTCTTGGTTATTATTATTACTAGTTTTGTGCCCCGTGCAATGTCCGGGTTGTTTATAAAGTCGATTTAAATCTATCTAACGTGGTGCGACACTCAAATTTTATTTTATTGAAAATAAAACTCTAAATTAACAATTTTATCCTAAAATTCTATCCAAATTTGATTCAAAATAGAATTCTAAACTAACTTTTTTTATCTTATGAAGTGTATTTAAATCTATCCAACGTGGCTCGACACTTGGCGAAAAGTTAGAATGCCAAGCGTCGCTGTCTCGTGACGTGACTAAAAGTTTAGTTTTATATATTAGTTATATGATTTCATTACACTTTTTTTTTTTGTATCACTTTTCTTTTATAATTGTTTTTTATTTATTTATTTTTATTTTTTATTTTTATTTGCATCACTTCTATGTATGCTAACTTTATACTATAATTTATTATTTCTCTCTCTTATTTCAAACCCCACTCAAATTAATTTATTATTTTTAATCTCATGGTCCTTACTAGTTACTACTCTCTCACACATAATTTAACTTTCATGGTCCCCATATTACTTTTACCATAATAAATTATTCATCCTTATTCCTTTCACTTTATTATATTAAAATTCATTCTCCTAAAACTCCATGCATTTGCAAGTGATACAAATAAAAAAAAAACAAAGGGATTACTAGTTAATGCCCGAGCTACGCTCGGATTTTTCATTTAATACGTGGTTGAATTTTCTTTATGCATAATATGGAAATTAATTGTGTTTGATAATTTATTTATTTATTTTTAATTTTTTTGAAGGATATATGATGATTTACTTAAGGGGAAATACAAGTTAATCTGCTAGATAAACGAATTTTTGTTAATCTGATGTCATTTTTGTAAATATATTAAAAAAGCAGGGTCATTTATTCAGTACTTTTGGTGAGTTGTCCAATTATTGTTTGCTTTTACTATTTGATGAGGAAATTACATATGTACCCCTCAACTAGTACATGAAAAGACGCATATACCCATCCACTGCTACTTGAAAAGACAATTATACCCCAAGATAATTGACTAGGTATCCCTCTTTACTTAATTGATCAATAATTGGATTTTATCAAAATTAACAAATCTTTTGTCTTTTACTATATCAAAATTGAATATAGGATTATGTTATGATAAATTTTTTGCATTTTATCCTTTACCTTATAAAACTAACTTCTAAAATAACTTCAATTTTTTTTGAAAACAATGAAAAGGTAGGGAAGAAATTATACTTGATTATTTCATAGATAATGATCAAATCGTATAAAATAAATCTAACCATAATAGACCAGGCCAGTACAAAAATGATGACTTTATTGGTTACTGGAGCCTTCAACCAACATGTTACATGTTTGCATTGTTTTTGTTTAAAAAGAAAATACATTTCCTTAGAATTCTCTACACTAGAAATAGAGAGCAAACTAACTAGAAAGATTGTCAGAATAACTTTTTCTAAAGGGATCATCTAAAAAGTAAGTTTGAATTAAATGCATTCATACAAAAAGTTACTCCGTACATAGATGTTATGGGTGAAATTATTTTTCTTTTGTATGTATTGTAAGTTTGTTCCCACTTTCAATGGCAGAATTTTACAAGTCAAAGCTAATTTTGCAAATAAAATATCCAATTCAGATCAGATTGAGAAAGTTAAATCAGATTAGATAAACAAAACATAGTTATAGTCACATTATTGAAATCTTGTTAAATTTTTATTGGTGTAAAAATATAAGAGTTTTTAAAATTTCAAATTAAGCATGTCTAGCTAGACATATTGTTGCCCACCAAAGATATGCAATAGTGACCATTCAAAAAACAAATGAGACAAATACTACTTAAAAAACAAACGAGACACAGATACTAGTAAAAGAACAGATTTAGAAAAATTTAGCAAACAATTCTAATATTGTTGATTTCATTCCTTAAGTGAATCATACATCATTAATTTGAAACAAACCATCTAGTGACAGGTAGTAAATACTAAATAGTCTATTTCTAATTTTTGTAGGAGCCAATAATATCATCAACATTTACTACAACGTGATACATGTAGACAATATAGTATGTACATGAATATGCATGTGTAGGTAATATAATAATCAAATAAATCTTTAACAATAGTATTTGCTTGTGATCTAGTTTGTGTATAAATTTGACCCTTTCCCTTTTCTCTACATAAGCTAACAAATAGTAAAGAGCAAGTGTGAAAGAAATAGAGAGAGGAGCAATTTACCTAGTTTTTGCTTTAAACAAACAAAAATGGCAATGACGATGGCAATTGCTTTCCTCTCTTCTTCATCGTCATCACCTTATTTTGTAAGCAATTTCTATTCCTATTTATCTCTCACACACATTGCAGAAATGAATCTTCAAAAGAATGTACCTTATATATAGTGCATGCTTAAAATCTCATGAGTCATGATAGAGATCAAGTATTTTGCATATAATATTGTCTACCACTTTATTCTAAGCTAGAAGTGTGTAATATGGTTAGCCTAGACTCGTATAAATATAGATTGTTGACATTATTTATTATTTTTGATTTGCTAAGTGAGATAATGATAAAAAAAACAGATACAATTGTTTCATATATGAGTTGGGGGTAAGTTAGGGAATCCTATATAAATCCTATATAAATATTATATAAATGTGCAAAAATATATATTCTTTGGTTAATTTTTTGATGCTAATTTTTTAAAAATTATTTTAGTTGCCCCATATTTACTTCAGTATAGCATTATTCACATCTTTAGCTCTTTAATGTGTATTCGTATATTAGGAAAATCATAATCATGTAATTTAATAAAGTTCTTGTCATGATAGATTCATATTAATATGTATTAGTTAATATCTATTATTTATAATTTAAACTTATACTTCATATGTAATTATAAATAAGGAATGGCCTAAAAAAAAAAAAAAATTTATAAATAAGGAATAAATTGTGCATTAACAAACAAGCAAAGTTATTAACTTATTATTATAATACAATATACAATAAATTAAATAAGCTAAATGAAGGAAGTACATTGCAAACTATCTCTCTCAATTCCTTTTCTTAGTGGCAAAATGTACACTAGAAGGGATATAGTTTTTGTAGTGTAATGAACGGAATAGTATACTTTTATAATTATAACTTCTTTATATAATCATTTAAGAAATTCGTAATTTTAAAATTATGCTGTTTAAGTCCATGCTTTTGCTTCGTTAGATCTTTATCTCATAATAATTTCTTTCTTCCTTCTTTGGAACAGAAGTTGGGCTCTGGTTTTTCTCGTATGAGCTCCTCAACCAAGGATAGAAGCTTAAGGGTGATTTCTCTTTCTAAGGCAAGTTTTTCTTTCCTCTTCATAAATCATTTTTTTTTAATTTTTAAAAAATTGATGATTTATTTTTATTTTGCTCCATTTACATTATGATCTAAAATTTTCTGATTAGATATGACTTGGTTTGATGTAGTTTGCAAATTTGATCTTATATGTACACTAATCCATTAAAAAAAATAAAAATAGAAATAACATATCGAATGAGAAGCCATTAATATCTTTCCAAATATGGTTTCAATGAAAAAAATATCTTTTCAAATATGGAAGTCTATAATTTTGTAATAACACAATTAAAGATATTTAAGAAAAACTAAATGCAAATAAAATAACACAATACTGAATAAGCAAATATCAACTTAAACAAGTTGAATTAAGCATAACATTAGAGTTTCTGGCTTATCAAGTATATATTTAATTATTTTAAGTTACTATAAAAGCTTAAAATAAAGGATTGTACGTGGCTTGGTATTTGGGGTAAGAGCCTAAGAGGTGGTGGTTTGGGGGCTGGAGGGTAGTTTCGTCATGGTGTGAGTCAATTCCGAAAAATCAGGTCAACAATTGAAACCGGTTATTAATAGTATTTTGAACATTATTTTATCTTTTATTAAATATATAGTTTTTTACAACACTTTTTAGTAGGTAGTTTTTCAAAAAATTTAGATTTTATTATAGTTAGTTTTTGACATTTAATATTGTTGATCTCATTCCTTACGTTAGATTTTCTTTCTTTCTTTTTATTTATTTTAAATATTACTTTATATACATAGATCAAACATCATTAATTTGAAATAGATCGACTAGAGACTGGTACTATTGTACAAATATTTCTTGGAGCCAATAGTATCATCAATATTTACTATAACGTGATGCATGTAGTGATGCAGACAATAAAGTATGTACATGAATTTGTGCTGGCAATATAGTAGTCAAATGAAGTAATTCTTTAACAATTGTATTTTCTTGCGTTATAGTTTGCATATAAATTTGACCCTCTCTCCCTTCTCTTAATACTTAAACAAATAAAAACCCAAGTGTTTCAGCTAGTTTTTGCTTCTTGTCAAAAAAAAAAAAAAAAAAAGCTAGTTTTTGCTTTTGACAAACAAAAATGGCAATGACAATGGCAAATGCTTCTCTCTCTTCTTCATCCTCGTCACCTCATTTTGTAAGCAAATTCTACTCCTATATATCTCTCACACATTATTTTAGGCCAATTGACCATATTGGTATAAAAGTTAACACCCTTGTGACAGATTGGTATAAAAGTTATTGCCGACGACATATTGGTATAAAAATTAACATGTGGCGACATATTGTTATATAAGTCAACAAATTGCGACATTTACCCCCTCTTCGGAGGATATGCGTATGACACGCGCTTAATTTTAGTGCAAATAATTTTTATTTGACATTTTGTTTTTTTTTTTTTTTTTTTTTTTTTTTTTACTTTTCTCTACTTTTTATATTAATTTAAAAAAATTATGAAGTAAAAATCCAAAAAAAAAAGTTGAAAGCCCAAAAGTGATGAGAGAGAAGCTAGAGGAAAACGAATAGGAAAGCTTGAGCAAAGGGATATAAGCTTGAATGTATTGAGGGCATTAGTCATTGAAGCATTACAAGGGTAGATTCTTCTGTTTTTTTTTTTTTTTTTTTTAAAAAAAAAACTCATATATATATATTTTCTTATTATATTGTTGATTTACAAAATTGAGGGTATAATTAAACAAATGAAGTAATAATGAAAGTTAGCGTCTACTAGTAATTGGTTTTGAAATTAAATAATTAATATTGAGATTTTGTTTATTGTTTATTAGTTCTTTGGGGTTTTATCGTTTGATTTATTTATTAAAGTTATTGTATTGGAAGGGAAGAGGGAAAAATTATTATTTGGTGCTGAATAAGTATATTATGATAATAAATAAGATTGCAAAAGTAATTAAAACAAATTTTTGAAGTATACAACACGCTCTTTCATCCGAAGAAAAAATAGGGGTAAATGTCACAATTTGTTAATTTATATACCAATATGTCGCCGGCAATAACTTATATACCAATATGTCATAAGGGTGTTAACTTATATACCAATATGGTCAATTGACCCATTATTTTACATGCATGTATTTTTAGAAATAAATCTTCAAAAGAATGCACCTAATATAAATATATAATGCGTGCTTGAATCTTCAAAAAAAGGCACCTAAATTTCTATCACACACATTGTACATGCATGCATTTTTGGACATAAATCTTCAAAAAAAAAAAAAAAAAAAAACACCTAAACATTTATTGAATCTCATGATAGGATCGAGTATATATATATATATATATATATATATATATATATATATATATATATATATATATATATATATATATATATATATATATATATATATATATATATATTCTGCATATATTATCTATCATTTAATTATAAGTTAGATGTGTGTAATTTAGTTAAGCTAATTTTCTATAGCTAGCTATAGACTAGATTACTTTATAACGAACATGCATGACATTTATTATTCTTGATTTGCTAAGTGAGATAATGATAAGAAAAAAAAAATTATAACAGATACCCTTTGTTTGTAGAAGGAAGCGTAAGTTAAAATAATCTTAGATATTATGGAGTACAAAAATACTTTCTCACTATTCACATCTTTTAGTATGGCCGTCTTTAATTGTTTGTAATTAAAGAATAATAATCATGCAAGTTCGTTCTTGTTAAATTCATAAATAATTCCTAACATCACATTGTTTTTTTGACACATCACATTGTTTTTTTTTTCAATAAAAATATATTTACTTTAGTATACTTTTAAAGTTATTAAAAATTAATTAAAGTTCGGCATTAACAACACACAAAGTTATCAAACATACATTAAATAAATAGGATGTAACATTGCTAACTATTCCCCTCTATGACTATCGGTTCTTTTTCTTAGTGGCAAAATGTGACCCTACAAGGTATTATGCTTTCTTTGGAAAATATATTTTGAAATTAATTTATTATGACCTCACATAATCGTATTATTTTCTTAGGTGTACATTAAGTCAAATAATTTAGGCAAATGGTGTTTACCCCTAAACATCCACAATGATAATTAAAAAAAATGGAAAAATAATAATTTTGACCACACAATAGGGAAGCACGTGGAAATTAAATAATTAATATGGACTTTAATGGGACGACGCAACTAGAAAATGAAATTAGATCAAATCAACTTTACCGAGTACATAAACATTAAATATGATCAGTATTACGGAGTATTACATACTCGTGTAGTCTTATCTCGCATTTTGGATTTGATCTTCTCTCTTTTTTAATACAAAAACATTGATGTCTTGAGATTAATCTACTAGTAATAATAATTTTAAATTGCATTTGTAAGCATATTTTAATCATTAATTAATGTGAAATTTGGGCTTTGCTTAAGGCGCTACTGTGAATAATAATAATTATTATTGTTATTTTATTTTTTTAGTTTAGAGATTTGTTTTTTTTAATAAGCGAAATACAAATGAGACATGAAAAGTGGGACAGAAGATTTTTTTCCCCTCCAATATGTATTTATATATATCTGTATGGATTAATAGAGCATGGGTTATTTCTAGTTAAGATGTTCATGTATCAAAATTTTATTTATTGAGGTTTGGTGTTCAAAACTAAGGGATAGTTTTACAATGATTACAATAATTTAGTAGCCATTGTAATCATTTGATTGTGACTAGTGATATATAGTGCTTAATTTGTACATTGATTTATTGACTAATAAATTAAGGATTAAAAGACTTTTTTTTGAAAAAAAAAAAAAAACCATCAAGTGATGGCCAATTAACTAAATTGGTATATAAAAAAAATGACCCCTAACACTGTTTGGTAAAAAAAATTTACTCCAATGACAATTTTGTAAAAAAAATTGGTGAATTCTTTTTATTACAAATCACAATAAATTATTACTGCGAGTAAGTATGTAAATGATTGTTAAGTTACATAAAATATAACCCAAATCATCAATTAAGAGAAACTGTATGTTTCATTATTAGTTAGAAATTTATCTGAATTTTGCTATAAACATCTTATTGCAGGAAAGTAACGATCTTGAACTAAGTAGAACTAACCAAGATGAACACCAAAATGCGAAAACATGGCCAACTTCGAACAATGATTTGATGACTTACCCAATTGAGATACCAAAAGAACAAAAGATCACTCCATTAGTTTCAGCACTTGAAAATGCAATCCAAGAAAACTATGCAAGTTTCCAATTTCCAGGACATAATTTAGGACTTGCAGCTCCATCAACGTTAACTCGACTCATCGGTGAACTTCCCTTCCACTACGACTTGGGAGAAATCGACGGCCAGTTTACCCCGGAAAGCCCGATTTTAGAAGCAGAGAAGCAAGCAGCAGGGGTGTTTGGTGCATCAAAGACTTGGTTTCTTCTAGGAGGTTCAACTTGTGGTGTTCTTGCAGCTATTATGGGTACTTGCAATCCCGGGGATACGTTGATTCTGCCTCGAAACTGTCATATATCATCAATCTCTGCATTGTTCTTGTGTGGAGCTGTTCCTAAGTATATATTCCCTGATTATGATTCTCACTGGGATGCTGCAACTTCAGTCTCTCTGTCAGAGGTATGTTCATATCGAAATTGATCATTGGTACACCTCGATATTTTCTTATCTGAACTTATTAGCGCTTATCTGACCTGATCTTTTTATATATAACAAAAGTACTTATGGGATACCCTGTATAATTCTTATGAAAGGTGGAAAGGGCAATCAAGGAATTGGAGATTGAAGGCCGAAAACCAGCTGCAGTTTTCATTACTTCCCCAACATACAATGGAATCTGCAGTAATGTAAAAGATATAGCTGCATTGTGTCATTCACGGGGTATACCTTTGATTGTAGATGAAGCTCATGGGGCACACTTCGGCTTTCATCCACAGCTTCCGGTTTCAGCTCTTCAACAAGGCGCCGATGTAGTTGTGCAATCAACTCACAAAGTGTTGATGTCACTCACTCAATCATCAATGTTACATGTATCACAAAGTTTACTAGTTGACAAGGAAAAAATCAACAGATGCCTTCAGATTCTTCAGAGTACTAGCCCAAGTTTTCTGCTTCTAGCCTCACTTGATGCTACTGCAGCTCAGTTAAAAGAAAACCCGGAAATTGTCTTTGACAACGCGATTCAGCTAGCAAAAGAAGCTAAAACCGCGCTGAAACAAATTCCAGGCATATCAGTCCTTGATTTTCCTAACACAGACCCCTTAAGAGTGACTGTTGGTGTACATGATCTTAATGTTTCTGGCTATGAAGCAAAGGACTTCTTATTCAAGGACCAAAGGGTAGTCCCGGTTTTAACTGGATCGCGTGCCATTACATTTTTGTTTACTCCAGGAAGCCGTAAAGAGCATGTTACTAGACTTATCACGGGGTTTTTGAACCTGTCATCGTCCTGCAGGAAGGCTAAGAAGCAGGGGATTGAGCGCGCTGCAATACAACCATTCGTTGATATTGAAATTAAACTTACTCCTAGGGAAGCATTTTTTGCTAAGAAAAAGAAGGTAGATATAAAAGACACCCTTGGGAAGGTCTGCGGCGAGCTGATATGTCCTTATCCACCGGGCGTTCCGGTTATGATTCCAGGTGAAGTGATATCAGAAAAGGCTCTGAATATATTGTTACAAGCTAAAGCATATGGTGCTAGAATTACTGGAGCTTCTGATCCTAATTTGTCATCTATTTTAGTGTGTGAGGTCTAAATGAACATGTATGGTAGTGATTATTATTAAATGTTTGAATTTGCTTGATAAAGATTGAAGTGCAGTTAACATGTGTTGGTTAATAAATTTATATGAATTTGTAACTCCAAAGAATTGTATCTTGTTGTTGATGTCGTTATTAAATTACTTTATTTTTTATATGAAATAATATGGTGGTCATATATCAAATGATGAAATGACCACTATAAAATAATTATTGCAACAATTAAGCATTGGAGTACTACGGAGCATATGTTATGACAATCTTTTGGGATTGATGGTCAGGCCTTCTCTCAAAGAAATTTATTCCCCAACATAAGGCCTCTCATATAATATGAACGAATGATTTGTTGGCAGCGCGCACTAATATATAGACAAGTTTACTAATTTATGACACAACAAGTAGCCAGCACGTTTTGCTTAATCATTTATTTGGGGTTAGTTGTCAAAAATCATCTAATCAAGCACTTTAGTGGTTGCCATCCTCCGAGGAAAAAAAAATATTAAGCTTGTTTAAATTGGTAAACGATTCTAACTTGTAACTTGAAGTTTGACTCGTTTAAACTTATAAATAAAGACTTTTGACTTGCAATAATTTATTATTTTTTCCGTAAAGAGAGCAGCAAGATAGCTAAGTGTCGTAGAAGGGATTCGACCTAAAGTTTCGGATACAACCCCAGTTTTTTTAACTAATTAAACTAGTTGATATTCATTTTTAGATTCAACTGTAATATACTAGTATAGCTTTGTCCGTCTGACCGGCGTATGAGCCACCTAGCAAAATGTCTTGTGAATGCTTAGCTTATTAGACTGGGAGAAAAATGGGTCATCAAATTATTATGAGAAATGAATGAAGTACTGTACTAGCTTAATTAGAACGATCTTCCAGATAGGGGATGTCCATAATGTTCCTACATTCAGTTACCATCCAAAAGAGCAAATTTTTCGATATGTCATGCATCTCCCTAAAATGTATATAGCTAGCTTATACTTCCTCCGTTCTTTTTTACTTGACCCGCTTTGACTTTTACACTATTCACCACCCCTTCTTCGACCGTATTTTGTGAATAATATGTAAGGAAAAATATATCTATGTTGGATCATTTTGAATTCGTCTCAATAAGTATTATCAGAATATATAACTTTTATATTTTTTAATTATGGAGAATTAAAATTATTGACTGTTTAAGTTTTGCATTGACAAGCGTGATAAAAGAAACAGGTTAAGTAAAAATAACAGAGGAAGTATCTTATTAGGCTTTTGTCCTCTTTTAATTTCAAAAGCAATTTGTCCAGTTAAGATCATGTACAAATGGAGGAATGTAACCTATCTAGGATTTATGGACAAATAAAAATATTGTACAGTAATTTTTTTCCTATAAAAATGGGAAATTAAATTATGTAAGTTGTTGCCTAGAATACAATCATAAATATATACGGAGTACTATATATGTTCTTGCCTACCATAAATTGATAAGTGTATAATATAAGGCCGGCCCGGCAGTCGGCAAGGCAGAATTGTTGTGTATTTAAGTATTGACATTTTGTATCAAAAACAAAGTACCAAACAAATCATTAAGTTTTTGGGGCAAAATTACGTACATTCTTTTGTGTTATTGTAACAATAATGGCTAAATTCAGCACCATTATGTTTGCTGTTACTCTTGGATTGCTTTTGGTGACTGCAACTTCTCAAGGTAATGTAGTACTATTATTATTGTAGATACATATGTGTAGGATGTTATTGATAAGTATCTTGATCACGCAACAATGTTTCGATCTTCAAAATTTATACTCGTAAAAGTCATGCTTCATTTGTATCATAACTTTTGCACCACTATCGCATATTGTGATTCATACATAAAATCGTATTCATGTACAGGGTATTATTTGATTCATCTCTATCTATCTAATTTGGCAGAAACAACTATACAAAAAATTGAGATACATACGTTGTAATTTGTTTATTAAGGTTAGTTGAATAAATGTTGTGAAATTAAAATTTGAATAAGATGTACATAATTAAAATTGTTATGTAATCCTAATTTTGATACTCACTTTTGAACTTGCATGGTCAAATTTTGGGCGTATGTGCAGATGTGTGTCCCAAAACAAGTAAAAATTTCCAAGGAGAATGTAATGACAACAAAAAATGTGATGAAACATGCAAGGCTGAGGGCACACTTGGTGGAGTTTGTAAAGATCGACCGACTACGTTCAACACTTCTGCTTTTAATGAATGCGCGAAGAAAAATCTAGTTCTTTTTAGCAATATGGACTCGTACAAGCCATGCCTAGAGAAACCAAATGAACTCGATATTGCTAATGGCATCTCCAGCGGGAAGAAATTGCATCGGACCTGGTCGGATTGCTCATGGTCGCGGGTGCAACTGTGCTGTCATCTGCTGATCTTGGCCATGGGTGCAATTGTGTTGTTATAATGTAGTGTTGTTCTATGAGTTCATGTTTTGTTATCTGCAACAGAGCGGGATGAGCTGCTTATGGACTCAGGAGTCATGGTTGACTTTTTTTTTTTAGAAAGCATAAATACGGTCCCTTAATTTTTGTATTTGTGTACTTTTAGTCCGGACTTAGTCTAGTCAGCATTAGTTTAGAGACTATTACTTTTTTTTTTAATTAAGAGTTATACAGTACTACATTTTAAACCGATCAACATTTTATAAATCTTAATAAATTATCTGCAACTAGGGCACAATTTTCGAAATATAAAAAAAAATTCAAAGTTGCATGCAAATAACAATTAACAGAGTATGATCAATTTAACACTTAAATAAATATGAAAGGAGTTGATGATTTGAGAATAAATGATTTACCTATTAATGAAGTATATACTCGTAATTAGAGATGGCAACGGGTCGGATTTGGACTGGGTCGAGATGGACGCGGATCCAGATCTGTTTTTGTATCTAGGATCCAGATTTGACCCGGATCCCTCGGATCTGGAAAATGGAGACCCATATCCAGATCCGACGGGTACAACATATCCAGGTCTGGATCCGAGTCCAAAACGGGTCCAATATATTTTTCTTAATATTTTGCAAAAAATGTAATGTTTGGGTCACAAAATGCATTTCAAACTTTCGTTGGGGGTTATTAAGTTCAACTTAAATTAAAGTTTTACAACTAATCTAAAAACACAAAGTAACCAATAACTTATACACTTACATTTTAAAATAAATATTATAAACAACGAAAAAAGTACGATATTACAAATGAGCAAGTGAAAAAACAACGATGATGTATCCGATATGAGCATCCATAATTCATCTCTTGAAAGGACTAATTTTTATCACTACTAACATCATCAACATTTTTAATATAAAACCAACAATTTTAATTTTTTTTTAATAGGAAAATTTAAGAACAGGTAAACGGATATGGGTCCGGGTCTAAGGGAATTCGAGGGAAAGAGAGGGAAAACGCAAAAGTGGGACCCATGCTGACGTCATTTGTAAAACTGGTGGGAGTTTAAAAAGTTTTGGAAAAAACTAGGTGGTAAGATTTTTTTTTTTTATTTAAAAAAAAACTCGAGGTGGTAATGTCAATTTTTTTTTTTTTTTTTTTGACACAAACCGCAAGAGATGATTATATTAAGGCCACTTTGTCAGAGATAACAAAGGGTAAAGAAAGAGGTGGACAATCTTCCATCCATAGTTGCTCACCAGACAAAGTAAGGGAGTATTTAGCTATGGAGTGGGCCACCTTATTACAAGTTCCAGGCTGAAAATTAAAAGTACAAAAGTCACACAAACTAGCAGCATACAAAATATCATCCACGAGCAGTTGGGTGGGAGTTCTTTCCCTATTTTTGGACAGCAGCATATTGATGAGGTTCAAGCAATCAGATGAAACCAGCAGCCTCCTCAGCCCAGCATCAAACGCATATCGAAGACCAAAAAGCATAGCTTCAGCTTCAGCATTGCAGGCACTCCAAACACCCGTGACAGCCCTACCACCAGCCATCATAACATCACCGAGGTGGTCACGCATAACCATTCCCAGACCGATTTTTCCGTCTTTAGAGAGAGCAGCATCAGTGTTTAAAGTGAATTTGTTAGGGGGCGGCGCCTTCCAACAATGGTTATCCCCATTTTCCTCATGATGTACCACACTAGACTCACGCATAGCCGCCGCCTCATACTCACCAAGGAGACTAAGGGTCTTCGCACATACCATAGGGGCCTCCAACTTCTTCTTCTCGAACAGCCACAAGTTACGCACCTCCCAAATCTTCCACCAGAACATTAAGAATAATTCCCAACTGTTTCCACAAGAGAGTTTCTTCGCCATATCGCAACACCACTCCTCAACAGATGCCATTTCCCAACCTCTAGTGTCAAGTCTCAAAGGTGAGAGCTTCCATATAATCTGACTTTCAGGGCATAGGGCAGCCATGTGCATTAAGGATTCATGATCCTCTCCGCAACGTGGACAAATAGGGTCAATTTGCATCCCCCTTTTGCACAGTTCCTCTCGAACAGACAACCCTTTTCTCAATGCACGTCATAGCACTGATTTCACCTTAGGAGGGACCTTCGCTTCCCAAATTTTCTTCCAAATTTGAGCGTTTACATCACCATGAGAGGATCCCACAAATGACTTACTACGTTGCATTTCAAAATGATAAGCGGAGCGAACAGAGAACTCACCATTTTTTGTTCCATGCCATTGTAAAAAGTCATCCTGTTCACTTTGGGCCAGCCTAATATTGGAGATATCCTGATACTCAATTTCTGATAAAACTTGTCCTACATTCCAGAACTTCATTCCTTCTTCATTCGTTTCAATCCATACAACAACCAACAAATTTTGCATTTCTTCAGAGTTTGGAGGAGATAAAAGCCGAGAGCCAGGTAAACCATCAACCCAATTGTCACCCCAAATTTTCACAGATCTGCCATTCCCTATTACCCACCTCGAACCTTCTTTCACCAGGTTTCTAGCACTCAAAATGGATCTCCAAATGTAGCTTGCCGATGGAGGGAGTTTGGCGTCCCAAAATGAGGATCGAGGGAAATATTTCCCCTTAAGAACTCTAGCTGCCAGGGAGGTAGGATTCTCTATAATCCTCCAACATTGCTTTGCAAGCAAAGCCATGTTGAAGGCCTTCATATCTCTAAGACCAAGACCCCCCTCCTTCTTTGCCTTGCACATTTTTCCCCAACTTATCATCACTAACTTCTTCTCTCTATCCTTTTTCCCTCACCAAAAATCACGGCAAACTGCATTGATGTTATTTATGGCGGAGTTCGGGAGTTTGAAACATTTCATAGCATACGTCGGGATTGCTTGGGCCACTGATTTTAGAAGGATTTCACGTCCTGCTCTTGATAGGTACCTCTTTCCACCCCTTGACCTTTTTCCATACTCGATCTTGGATCACTTGGAAAACAATTTTCTTGGATCTACCTATATAAGTAGGGAGACCAATATATTTTTCATGTCTTTCAACTTTTGTAAAGTTCAACTTTGATTAAAGTGTTTCCTGCATATTGGTACTAACATTACGACTAAAGGATACCTCTGATTTTTCCAAATTGATCTTCTGACCTGAAGCAAGCTCATATGTGGTGAGGATGTCAAGGATCGCCTCTACCTCAATATCATTTGCTCTAGTGAAGAGCAAACTATCATCGGCAAAAAACAAATGGGAGATAGGTTCAACATTCCTACCAAGTTTTACCCCATGAATCAACCGATTTTGCTCGGCCTTCTGAAGGAGAGCGGAAAATCCTTCAGCATATATTAAGAATAAAAAGGGGGAAATAGGGTCGCCTTGGCGAAGTCCCCTATTTGGCACGAATTTTGAAGAGGGAAAGCCATTAATCAGAATCAAGTACGAAACTGTTGACAGGCATCTCATGATCAATGACACAAAGTTATGGTCGAAACCCAATTTTTTCATCATTCCCTCAACAAAACTCCACTCCACTCTATCGTAAGCCTTAATCATGTCAAGTTTCAAAGCTATGTAACCACGGATTCCAGACTTCTTTTTTCGGAGGAAATGAAACATCTTATATGCCACAAGAACATTATCAGTTATCAATCGCCCCGGCACAAAGGCACTTTGATTCTCGCTAATAATGTCAGGAAGAATTCCCTTAAGTCTATTTGATAACACTTTTGACACAAGCTTATAGAGGACATTGCATAAGCTAATGGGCCGATAATCCTTAGTGGAGTCACACTCTTTCTTCTTGGGAATAAGAACAATGTGGGTATGATTAATAGTATCAATTGGATCATTGTTGTTCAAAATATCAAGCACGTGAGAAACCACATCATCACATACTGTATTCCAAATTTTTTTTATAAAATCGAGCAGGCATACCGTCGGGGCCCGGGGCCTTCGTAGGATGCATTTGTTTAAGAGCATGGGTTACTTCTTCCCTTGTGTATCCCTGTGTCAGCATTGCATTCATATCCTCAGATACACGAACATCAACCGCATCAAGAACCTGTTGCATATCAACATTGCCGTCCGAGGAGAAAAGTGACTTGAAGTAACTCTCAAAAACTGCCTCAATCTCATTCTCATCTTTCATCCAATTCCCACCATCATCAAAAACACCCTTGATAGTATTTCTATGTCGCCTCTCCTTAGCCTTTTTATGAAAGAAAGTTGTATTTTTATCACCATCACGGAGCCAATCTTGGCGACTCCGTTGTGCCTAGTATGCTTCTTCTCTCCCCTCTAGCTCATCAATCTCCTTGTCAATTTCTTTCATTTCTGCAATGTTGTCATCTGTTGGCTCAAGGTTCATTAAGGCTGCCATTCTTTCTCTACGGCACTTAATCTCCTCGGTAAAATCAATTGATTTATTTGAGCTCCATGAGCGCAACCTGGCAGAACACGCTTCAATTTTCTGCTTCACATTGCTATCCGGATCCAAATTCCATGCCTCCGAGATAATGTTACCATATTCATCGTCACGGAGCCACTCCTTTTCAAATTTAAAACCCCTCCTTCTTTTCTTCTTTTTCCTGTGAATTACCAATTGTTTTTGAATGGTAATTTTAAGAGGAACATGGTCTCACTTGCGGCGAGGCAGATGTTCAACCATTGAGCAGGGGAATAATTTGATCCAATCCTCCGTAGCGACAAAACGATCCAGTCTCTCTTGAATGTTTTCATCATCAGCTCGGTTATTGCTCCACGTAAAGGAAGGACCTACAAAATGTAAATCCCTAAGGTGACAATTGTTCATTGACTCTCGAAAGCCATCAATTTCGTTCTGGTTTTTGGGATTACCACCCTGTTTTTCGCAATGCATCAGAGTACAATTGAAATCTCCGAAGCATAACCATGGTGACACATTCCCTTCTCCCAGATTTTCTAAAAGCTTCCAAGTCTCATGTTTTATCCCTTCCTCATGAAAGCCGTAGATTCTAGTTAGGCGCCACACACTACTATCATCTTGTTTCAATGTGAAGTCCATATGATTCAAAGATGAAGACCTCAAAGTGAGGTCTATTTCATCCTTCCAAAACAAGCCAAGCCACCACTTCTATGTATTCCTGCCCCACTACAATCAACACATAAGAAGTGCTCAAAATTTAGCTTCCTTCTAATACTCTCCCATTCTTTTCCTTTTAACTTCGTCTCGAAGAGAAAGGCGAAATGGGGATGTTCGAGCTGAATTACACCCTTGAGCGCATTCTCTGCACGAGGGCTCCCCAACCCCCGACAGTTCCACGATAGGCCAATCATTAATATTCACGGGGTTGCAATGCAACCACCGCTGTTACCATATAGTGAAAAGCATTCTCCATCCTTTGATAATTCGAACTAAACCACACAATTTCTCCCTTGAACCCCTCAGACTGAAAGGCGGCCAAAGAGAAGATCAAAAAAAGGAATTCTGACTAACAAAAAGAAACCGCAGGAATATAGAGATTGAAATTGGGGAAACAAAAACAAACAAGAGAGACGTAATTGAGGAAATCCAGGGAATCGAAGGTCGACAAACGAAGGAAAAAACGACGAACCCTGGGAGAGGGACTTTTCAAACCCTACGCGAAGGACTTCTTTTGTAGTAATAATGTCAATTTTGACTACTATAGATGGTGATAATTTTCAAATTTTTCAAAATAATATAGTAGTTATTTTTCATTGTCATATTTTGATATATAAATTTCCAAACAAAAGTAGGGCCCTAATGATTAGAAGACTAATTGTGTCCAAATATTATTTCAAAATTTGATGATTAGGGATTTTATACAAAATTTCTAGAACAATATTAAGGTAGAGTAATTCGCATAGATCTTTGAATATTTCATGGTAACCGGCGTTACAGAGATTTGATCTCATTTAATGGTATTTTTTACGATTGGACAATCAAAGAAGACAACTGTTCAAATTCTTTTCACAGCCCTGTTTTGATCCGTAAATTTATAGTTAAATTAGTTTTTTGCGAACATGTTTGTCCATAATCACCTAAAGTGATAGACAATCAATAAGTAAAAAGTAAATAATAGTTGCTCACCCGAAAAATATGCTGAATGCATTTTGTGTGCGGCTCCGCTTAGTATTAATAGAACAAAGTAATTCATATGATACTGATTGATTAACTCCTGTAATACTAACCGAATAATTAACACCTAAAACACGTATCAATTGCATAACCCCTATTATACTGACAAATTAGCCCTTGTAACACTAATCGAGTTACTCTTATAACACTAACGAAATAACCCCATAACAACAAATCACACCATGTGGCCAACCACATATAAGAATTTGTGACATACATGATAGACGACAATCAAAAAATAAAATACATATTTTATATTTTTATTAATTATCTTTTATAAGGACAACAACAAATTAAAGTTTCATATGTGGATGGTCACATCTTGTGGATGAGGGTAATTGATCAGAGGTTACTTAATCGGTTACTCTGTCAGTCAAGGATTACTTGGTCGATTAGGACTTTAGGAGTTACTAATGTCATCGTGTTCAGTCAGTTAGGGCCCGTTCTCTTCACCTTATTTTCAGTTTAGTTTTTAATTTCCTTCTCTCATAAAATTTTCAGTTCAGTTTAATTCAGTTCAGTTCAGCTACAATAAATTCAGTTTAGTTCAATTAAGTCTAGTTAATCAGAACAAACTCTTAATCATACGGTGTGACAAATGACGAGGAGAAAACTAGGTCATTGACTAATCCCCCCTCAGTCAAACTAAATTTATAATCACTTAACAAACCTAAATAAAATTATAGAAGTAAGTCAAGGGTCGAACCACTAGGAACGGTTATGTTCAAGTGTTTTCAATTATGTGCCTAATCTAGGTCGAAGTAAACAAAGAACCAAACAAATAAAGCACTAGAGAATGGAGATCAACAAGTAATCATGACAATTGTAGCAATTCAGGAACAACATGCAAATCAATGGTTTGCGAAGACTAATGGTAAGAGCAATCAAAAGAGTTCGACAAGCTATCTCGTAGAGGTCTAGCTAGCGCCAACTACGAGATACTTTAACTTGGAACGTCACTAACAGAACTCAATCGACAATTATGAGCTACAAATCAATGGTCCGTATCAATGTAGACTTACAATGCAATCTAGCATAATTCTCAAGGCCTAATCGAATTATACACACGCACAATTTCCATTAATCACTTTAATCTCAACAATTAATCAACACAATTCCCAAATTAAGCACAATCAATCAATCATCACAGTTTCACCCAATCCCTAACCAAACAACTACTAAAGAATCATTATCTAATCAACAAACAACTAAGGAAATCAAGAATCAACAATATATCAAGAACAACTACACTAATCAAGCATCAAACATCAAAATCAATCCAAACAAACAAGAATATTAAAAAATCAATAAAATGAGTTAAAGATAGAAATGCTCATCGATAATAGAGAAGATCTTCAACACAATTGTCACCCTTGAATCTTCAATCTCTCAATCACCATTGAAATTCCTTACTTTCTCTCTCTAAATCTACAATTAAACTAACCCTAAAACTAGAGAGAGAAGCCGCGCCCTCAACTAAGCTAAAATTATGATTAAAGGTTATCTCTAATTGCTTCTCATTATTTTCCCAAAAATCGGGTTACAAGGTATAAATTGGAGGCGAAAAACAAAGCCGATCAAAACAAGGACCTAGAGGAGCGCGCCCGCACGGCTGGGTGGCGTATCCGCGCCCGCGCTCCTCTGGGTTCCTTCGGTTTCTTGAGGCTTTGTGCGTTCGCTAATGGCTTCGAATGAGCGCACCGAATGATGATGATGGACACCAAGGAGGCAGATCCAAAGGAGCTTGACGGTGGGTTTAACACCACATCTTCATGAGAGCACGACTTGAGAGCGCAAGAGCTAGAACTTGGAGATTCCACTTCCTTGCATCTTGAGCTTTTCTATTGCATGAGCTTGCTCAAAAAGCATCTTCCACCTTAGTAAACCACCAATATCAAGACCCGGTCCTTGTACAATACCCACAACCACGAAAAGAAAAAAAAAACCGTAAAAATGCACAAAGTCACATAATAAGAGAGAAAAGGGAAAACAAAGAGCTAATTCATAAAACTAAGCATTTATTAAGAAGGAAAGCTATGAAAAGAAGGTAAAAACAACCTAAATGCTCATCAAATGGGTGCCATTAATGACACCCATCAAATACCCCAAAGCTTATCTTTTGCTTGTCCTCGAGCAAAACAAAACTAAAGATGGAAAATGATGAGCTTATTCTAACAAACCAAAAGAATAGAGGAGACAAGAATATACACTAACTCAATTTCGTAGGAATCACGATCAATTTAACAACTAAAGACAAGTCATTTAAACCCTTAGATCGCCCTTGAGGACGAGTGATGTTCTCGTAAGGGTTTCCTATGAGATTGACCTATAACTCTCACAAACCAAACAAACAAGGCAAAGCACGAAAAAGAAGCAAAAAGAAAAGAAAAGGGAAGAAAACAAATGTTCATGAATGGACTCTTTTTTTTTTATTTTTTTTTGGCAAATGTACAAGCATAAATGAATGCAAATCTTTCTAAACAAGTAAGGGAGTGCACGTTCTAAGATATCTAAGGTTGATTGAAACATAGGATATGCTAAGCATAGAGAACTAATGAAATGAAATTCACTTTCATCTCAAAACATTTTAGCACATTCTCCTAATAATTAGCTTCAAATCTACCTTTAGCGAGCATCTCAATGGTTCCTTGAAGGAACCGGAAAAAGAAAGAGATTTGAGGCTACTCGACGTCTCAACTATTGCGTACCGCTTTATAACTTGACCGATATCTCCCTCCACCGACTAGTGACACAACCACAAAGGTCAAAAGGTATTGGAAAGGGTTGTAATGTAAAGGCAAGAAAGGTGATGGTAGACTAAAATTTGAAATTTGGTGGTATACCTAAATCGTGAAGCAAAGATTGGCTAAATTTTAACACCAAAACCAAGTAAACACCAAACAAAAACACATCACCCCCAAGCTTATTCAAAGCTAAGAATCACAAACATATGTACAAAAAGCGTAAGAACGCTTAGCTTCCCCCCAAACTTGAACAAAGCATTGTCCTCAATGCTTAAAATAGGGAGAAAGACACTTACATCAAAATATTTTTTAGCTTTTCATTTTTCACTTTTTTCAATTTTGCCAAAGCTTTTTGAATTTGCTTTGCATTTTCTCACTTTTTCCAATTTTTCATTTTTTCACTTTATTCATTGTCCTCGCCTCTTTTAGCTATGGAAGGCTTTTTCAAATTTGCATTTTGTTTTTTATTCACAAAATATTTACAACACAAACTTGTTTTCATTATAAGAACCAAACAATCATTCTCATCCACCAAAACTCCAACAAAAGAGACCAAAATCCATCACAAAAACCAATGATAGGAAAAAGAATGAAACAAAAGGCTCAAGATCTAAATATGTGGCTTTAAAAGAAGGGTATATGGCTTAAATGGTTAGCAAGTAGGAAAATGTAAACCCAAAACAAAGAAAAGAAAACTATCCTATAAAGGGAAAAATTACCACCTCGAAAAAATGCCTTTGTCCTTCCTAAATGGCTCGGTCGCGATCTTGGGAGATGAAAGTCAAATTCTAGATAAAGCATACAATAGCCAAGGATTCATGTGCCGCTCAATCAAGAAATGTTGAAAGCAAGAAGAAATAAAACCTCACATGGTTGTAGCAATAACTCACTATTAGTTTCAAATTCACCAAAGGGGAGCAATTGCAAATTTTCAAAAATAATAAAATTCGGCTTCAAGGTCCCAAAAGTTATAAACGACTACGTTAGCATACTCTATCCTAGAATCAACCAAAGATACTCTCAAACTGTGTACACCATTACCATTTAAGAAGAAAAACATTCAACTATACAAGTCCAAAAGTATTATGTCCAAAGCAAGAACAAAACAAAACACATTGCAAATTTGCCTTGAAAGAAACAAAAATCTTTTTGGAATTTTTT